CTCTCTCTCTCTCTCTCTCTCTCTCTCTCTCTCTCTCTCTCTCTCTCTCTCTCTCTCTCTCTCTCTCTCTCTCTCTCTCTCTCTCCCGATTCCTCTCATCCTTCTTCTCCGATGTTCCCCGGTGAAAGCTTCAGATCTCAGGTAATTTTTCAATTCTCGCCTCCAAGCTTCAGATCTAAGTTTGAACTCGTTGAGATAACTTAGGGCTTTTCCTCATTTTTTCATTGTTTTATTGCAGTCACCTGAAACCTCTCTCTTGTTCGTAGACCTCGAGCTCTCTCTCTTCTCTGCAGACCCGAATCATTCCGAACACGAAAGGTTCTCTCTCTCTCGAATCCTCATGTCCCTCATTAACCAGCTCGAAAAGGTCTCACCTTTAATCATCTAGCTTGGTTCTAATTAATTCTCATGATCTGTTTGACTTTGAGTAATATATCGTGTCACAAAGTTGGATAGTGTATTTGATAAGGTAAACCTTTTAATCTGAGCTTAGCTTAGGTTGCCTCTTGTGATTGAGAAACTTTTGTACATTGCAACGATACTCAGGCTTGGAGGTTTGATTATGTCTTTCTCTCGCATTGTTCCTATGGCCTATTATCTATGTTCTAGTAGTTTTTTGCATGTTGATGGTGTACTTGGTTAATCTTGAATATAGTGTCTTCAAATTTCAATCCTGAATTTTGTTGTATGCAATTGCTGTCATGTGTGTTATTAGCCATATGATCATCTTGTCTTGTGACAAATGTCACGAGGAAGTTTCCTGACTAGTTCCAGTTTCTTACTGCGATGTTTTTTTGTGCAACTTCAGGGATAAGAAATCATTGACTCTATCCCCAGATGACAAGTAGGATCGTGCAGGAAGAACAGACTTGTAAGTCTACTTTTTTCTTCTTTTTTTTTCTTATGTATGATTATTACACTGAATGCCATTTGCCACTAGTATGTTTCTAGTACTATTCTTTCAATGAGCATCAGCACTAGCATGTCCACCATTAGCACTAGCTCAATGAGTTCGAATTATTGATAATATTGTAAAGAGCATACAAGTAAATACGTGTACAATTAGCACACGGGGTTATAGCATGTCCATCATTAGCACTAGCTCAGTGAGCTCTCTATTTCTTTATGTTGTTTAAGTTCAACTTTAATTAGTACTTTGTTTATGTTTCTTGTTGTGTTATGGTTTCTCTGTTTTTGTTTTTTTTTTGTGTTTCAAGTCTAATCAAAATGCTTATGTTTGTGTTTCTTGTTGGTGTTATTGTTCTCATTACTTGTTTCATGTCCTTGTTTTTGTTCTCATTACTTGTTTCCTATCTTTTTATTGTTCTCATTACGTGTTTCCTTCCTCTCAGATGATAAAAGAGTGAATGAGTGGAGCATTGGAAGTGCAATTACAGACTTACTTGTGTAGACTTGTGTAATCAGTTTTTTTAAAAACCTTAAATTAAGAGTACTATTGGAGCCATAAAAAAACGATGTCTCTTAAGTATGTCTCTTAAGTCACTTTTAATACTTAAAATTATTAAGAGACCCAAAATAGGGTTGTGGGATAATCGTGCTCTTATGAAAGTTTTTTATTGATTATCCAACTGTTTCTACTTCTATCATTTTTTGTAATAAACTTCTATCAGTTTTTGTGATTCATTAACGTTTATAAATAAAATATTTACTACTCTACTTCAAAAAATATACAATGTCTGCAGTAAAACATAAAAAATATTCTCCACAAACAAATATGTAACCCGAATGATTGATAAAATATGATTCATCAATGTCTCTGTCACTTCCCCTGAAACAATTCAAACGAGTATTACTAACAAAACAAAACAAAAATCATATCACCATTGAAAATCATAAATATCATTCTCCACACCTCAAGTATAAATGTTGATTTGCAATATAAACACCAAAAATGCTCAAACAAATATAATTTTTTGTACTATACAAATTGTTGACACTCTACGTCCCCTAATAAATAATAATATATAGATTGGCTATCAATCAACTAGTGATGTCTTTTTCTTTCTTTAATCGTGGTGGCCTGCCAGTTTTTTTTTTTTTTCTGAGGTCCGGAGTATATAAACTTTTTCTGAAATAAAAGGGTAAACAATCTATTTACCCATGAAAACTATCATATAACATCAGATTCCCACCGAACTATGACCTCATGCTAGATCTCCACAAATTAAAAATTGCAAACCTATTTCTCCTCGAATTGAAAATTGCAAACATATTTCTCCCCGAATCAATACTTCAAAACTTAATTACCCACAGACGATGGTTTTAATTGGTTTATTCTTAACCAAACATCTTAAAATCAAGTAAACCAAACCAAAATCCAATTAAATAAAACAAAATCTTCTTCTTTTGTAAAATAAATCCATTAAAGTGTTTACATAAGAATGTTTACGGTGATTCAGGTGGGGATTTAATTGGATTTTGATTTGGTTTATTTGATTTTAAGATGTTTGGTTAATAATAAACCAACTAAAACCAATTAAAACCATCGTCTATGGGTAATTAAGTTTTAAAGTATTGATTTGGGGAGAAATAAGTTTATAATTTTCAATTTGTAGGAATCTAACATGAGATCATAGTTCGGTGGAGATCTGATGCTATATGATAGTTCTCGTGGATAAATAGATCGTCTACCCGAAATAAAACTATAGAAAATACGCGTAATTAACGCCCACGCATTATTTTAAGCATGCCACATAACAAGGAGATTAGATCTTTTTATGTTTAGAAAAATATAATTGTAAGGTGAGATTGCGTATCCCAAGTTGCCTAATAAAACTCATTCATTAATGACTGCATATGATAAGATAGCGATCGTTCTCAACCTAACCGGTGTGTTAAAAACTTTATCGTAGTACTTCTTAGGTAAGCAATTGAATTTGCCTTTCAATTTTGTTTTTATCTTCTTTTTCACTGTCTCGTAACTATATGTAGCCAACTGTGGAGTTACAAATCACCAAAACCACATTTAGACAAAACACTGGAACATTATTGCAAACAAAAACTAGACATGAGTGATAGCTACTAATAATTTGTCTTTTGCGTGTATGTCTTTGGTGCTAATCAAATAATCATCGTATTTTCCTTTTTTCGTTGATAAATCACAAAGTTACAAAAAAAAAAGAATCGAATGAATATATTAATAAAAGTAGAATTTGATCCAATAATTTAACATATCTGTACATGAAAAAAAGGAGATACGATACGATCATTCATGCACTCATCACTGTGCCCACTTTAACCACACACCACCCAAAATAAATAAAATATTGCTAATATTAAGTAAAAATATCACGATATTTTTCATTCAATGGCTACGCCCTCCCCAAGATTTACCCGTAGTAGTCGAACCAGAACCGGACCCGGATCCAGATCCTTTTGTCGAGACACTCCCTGACCCTCTACTTCCAAAATAAAGATCCGAGAGATAATTCCCTATATCCTCAGGGGTATACCTGACATTAAACGTCCCACCTCCCAAACCAAACCGGTTCACCTCATAAAACTCGGTACAAACCGCCATTAGTTTCTGACTCAACGAGATTTTAATCTGGTCCCTAAGCTTCGGGTCGGGTATAACCCACGAAATCTGTTTCCTATACGCCGCCTCGAACTCATCGTTAAACCTAGCGAACAAAGCCCTAGCCTCCTCGGGCGTAATCTCCTCGGAAGGATTCTCCGGTAACGACGTCAGCACTTTCCCCCACGCGAGCTTCTCGAACTTCTCCGCGTACTGTCTCACCTTCCCCTCATGCCTCGCCACCCAATCCTCCCCTAGAAGAGCCTTCAAGCTAGACGAACGGACCTTTACGACGACGTATTGGAGATTATTCGCGAGGAACAAATAAGACATCGCCACGTCTTTATACGGTTGAGCTTTCCCGTCGATTTTACAAAGAGTCAGAAGAATCACCCACGCGATGCGTAACGACACCGGAGACGTAAACAAATCCTCCGGACGAGCATCGTCCCCTCCGCTACCGAATAAAGACTCCGGTAAAGGAGACGGCACCGTGAGCTGCCAGTTCTCGAAGATAACGGAGATGGACTCGTTGTAATCAGCGAGGAACGAGAGGTAGTTCATGACGTAACGAGTGAGAGGGTGAACTCCACCGCCTACGATCAGCGTTTTGGACGTTTCTTTCTGAATCGCGGTTTCGAAATCCGTCATCATGAAACGCACCGCGTCGCCGAGTTTCGCTAAGGAGTTGATCACTTGAGATCGAACTGCCGCGGCGGAGTCGAAGTAGAATATCGACTCGATCTCCACGAAGAGATTGGCCAGAGACTCGTACATGTCCAAGAACCTGAACATCTTCTCTGGTGAGAGCTTCTTGATCTTGGCCGCGTGTTCGGGGAAGGTAAAGAGCGTTAAGGCTCCCTCTTGTGTGATATCTGTGAAAGAAGCTTCGACTATGTTGGTTGAGGAGGAGAACACGTGGTCGGCGAGGATCCTCTCTCCAAAGAAGAGGGAACGAACAGCTAACTTTGCAGCACGTAGCCACGATTTGATTTTAGGTTCGAGAATCTCCCAATCCATCTTCTGAATCTGATGGAGAGTCAGTTTCTCAACAGCTAAGTTGTGAAGCGTCTCGTCGACGATGGATCTCCGCACGGTTTTGTAAACTTTGACACATTCTTTAGCGTACCCCGTGGAGATCATACAGTCCGCAATCATTTTGAGATCGTCCATGGCGTCGGAATCTCCGCCGGAGAATCTATGCTCTTCGGCGGAGGCGTTCTCCTCGTACTCGTCTTCCGAGTCGGAGATGCTAGTCACCGTCGAAGTGCTGAATTTTCTCGACGATCTGCAAGAACGTAGAGAGACGCTCTCGGGGTCTAAGTACTGTTTATTCTCCTTGAGCACGCGCTGGAACTCGGATTCGAGGAGGTTCATCGCGGACTGCATGAGGTTCTGCGCGTAGATGAGCTTATCGGAGGAAGGGTTGACGGCGACAAGGCGGTGCATGGTGCTGTGTAAACGCCTCACGGCTTCGACGAACTCCTCTGCTTCGCGACGGCTGTTGGTGGAGAAGAGGAACTCGTTGGAGGAGGAAGAAGTCCATTTGGAGATGACGGTGGTGATGTCGCTCATACATTCTTGGAGAGCTGTTTCGGCGAGGGTTTGGTGAGGTTGTTGTTTCTCTTGTGGAGGTGAGGATCGGAACAAGTGCTTCCCCATGTTTCTCTGAACTCTGTTTCTGTGTGTTGGTCTCTGTTTATTCTCCCTCTCTATTAATTGCTTGAAGAAGATACTTTCTTGTTTTTTTTTTTTGTGTTACTCAACAAAATATATACGTCTGGTTTGTTTTGTAATAGTGAAGAAGATAAGGAGAGGAAGGTAGAGGCAGAGAACTATATATAAAAAATGTGTTATAAATGTATTATTTAATTGTGTAATACGGACGGCTGTTTCAATGGAAGATTGGCATATGTATGTGTATGTGTACGTATAGATGTATGTGGAGGAGAAATGTTGAGTAGTCAAACGCGGTGTCAAAAATATATTATTGAATGCAGCAAAATATCAAAAGATCATGTAAATAATTGTATGGATGCCTAATACTAAGAGCCTATACAAATCAGGACGGCAAAAACACACAGTTTTGAATTTATAGTAGCGTTGGTCCATCAGTTACATATTGTTTCCTCTGTTAAATTTTGACAGTTGTTTTGTAAGGTAATATTTTAATTATTTATAACAGATCTAATAGAAGACATTTAAATTATTTATTTTTATCAGCAGAAGACACTTAATTAGAATATGAAATGCAACTGTTAATTAGCTTTCTACCAATACATCTGTTAATTAGCTTTCTAACAAGGCATCTGTTAATTAGCTTTCATAGGTACACTACAGTTTTGACAATTTGGGAAACGAGATTGCAAGGAAGGTTCACTTCTCTAGATTTCAAAAGTTGAAAGTGTGCGCCCTGCCGCCACATAAATGAAACCCATTGTTTTCAAAACATGTTCAAAGTTCTTAAATTGCCATTACACGACTACTACTTCATAGTACTGGTTTTCTCCATCTGTTTATTGCTTATAATAAAAGTTAGGAGAACTCAATACCAAATTTTCCATCACGACCCATTATTTTAATTATAATGATCAGATGTAAAATATAAGTTTGAATTAATCAAATACTACCAAATTTGATCAAAGACTCCTTAGTATCTATTTTGTAAAGGAAAAGGAGATTTATTTTGAGTTTCAACTATTCATAACCAAACACTGTAAAGACAGACCTTATATTTCAAATTTCAAAATTATACAACTTTAGCATTCCGTATATGCTAGAGTTCAATATAATTTGAATATATTGGAACCTCCTTATTCCAATAGTTTGAATGAGAATTCATTAATAGTTTTAAATTTGACTTTTAAGTATCATAAAATCGAATTATGCATAGTAATTTTAAAATGGCTTACATGAAATATTCGTTACAAATAGATTATGTGAAATAAAATGTAAATTACCATAATGCAAATAAGTGGTCAATTTTAGAATCGTCTATAATATTTTTAAAATAAATTATAACATAATATTTTAGGGTTAAAAATATTTCAATTATCTACAATATCCTAAATTAATATGGAATTATTATTCAGAAAGGGTTTATATGTATCTCGGTGAAATTACTAATTGGCCTCTTTTTGGAAATGCGAACTGCTAAGATCAATGTAACCTCGTAAAACTATATATAGAATGACTGTAATCAACCGACAATCCATTTGAATAAATAAAATCAACCGACAATCAAATGAAAAGTAAAATACCAAAATCCAGTGTGATCTATGTGATCTGTAATTATATATCTGATGAATATTTATGCCCCTTAATTTATATTATTGGTACTGACGTTAGCTAAGGAAAACAAATACAGTAATTAATTTTTATCTTGTCTAGGAAAAGTAAAATAATTCTAAATAGGAAAAGGACAATGAAAAAAAAAAAGAATCTAAAGCTAATTCAAAATGTAACACGTGACTCTAGTGGTGGGAATAGGGCTGGGACTTAATATCCGCTATCCGCTATCCGATCCGGGATCCGTCCCGATCCGCTCCGAAAAAACGGATATCCGGGGGGTCCGGATCCGGATCCGGATAGTGATTTTGCGGATCCGGCGAATCCGGATCCAGATCCGGATAGTGAAAATTTTAGTCCGGATATCCGGATCCGGGCCCACTAAATATTTTTAAAATATTTAAAATATAATTAAATTTATATAGATATATTATATATAATTTTTATTAAAATAACTAAAATTTAGTTTTATTAATTTTTTATTAGCTTTTTAAAATTTTTTGCAAAAAAACAATTTTTTAATTGAATAAATATACGTTTAATTTTAAAATTTTAAGTTTAATTTTGATTTTTTTAATTTTTTTTTTTTTTAAAAACGGATCCGGATATCCGCGGGTATTCGAGTGTTAGTCCGGATATCCGAATCCCGGATATCCGGAAGGCCCGAAGCCGGATCCGGATATCAATTTTACGGATCCGCCGAATCCGGATCCGGATCCGGATATCCCAAAATACCCCGGATATCCGATCCGTCCCACCCCTAGGTGGGAACTTGCCGACAAGGATATAAAGCTAAAGTCCCCATGCATTTCAAAACATTACGTATGGTCCTCATTCTCCATGGCTCCTAGTGATTTGGATTAGACAAGACTCGAGAGCTGATCCACTTGCCTTCTTTTTAGAGCACTTAGTTTTGTCTTTGTCCTAAACTCTAAAAATAACGGAGTATAACAATAAGATTTTGACCTCTGTGACTATTTGTTACGGGTTTGACCTCTGTGACTATTTGTTACGGGTCTATCCAAATAACCTGTTAACGTATGGAGAGTCATAGTCCATCGAAGACCACTTGTTATTTCAAGATAAATCTGCCATTGATTAAATTTTAAATCATTGAAAACGTTAGCAAAATTGTAGAATGCTGCCTCCGTAACAATGACCTAAAAACACAGTGATTTAACCTTGTATAAATATTGTAAAATTCCTCACTTACACTAAGATTCATATATTTATTTTTAAAATGAGGCAGTCTGATCCGGGATTCCGGATGTGGTTAAACCTCGTTACTGGAATTGAGATTAAATGGAATATTCTTCTTATCCAGAGAATAAATTAATCACTAGTGAAACCCGTAGTTTGGAAGAAGGTTAGTTGTAGTGTTTCAGCTCGAACTAAAGATATTGTTTACTATTTTGCTTAATGCCATAACCGCAATAAGAGTTTAACCAATAAAAGATTCATTTTGTAAAAATGATCCCCTAGATAAATTGGTAAATTTTTAGCCTTAAGCTAATGCTTGACACTTTGACCAGCTTGTGGTCAAGGGTGGCTCTGCATTTACGTCTTTTATATATGTAGGTAAAACCGTCCTCATATGTGCACCGTTTGACTTTGATTAGCAATTGTGAGTTGATCGAATCTACGCACAACGCATATTGTTGCTCCCATTCCTTTTTTCCTTCTTGTTTCCTTTCTTTCAAATACAAAATTTTGTTCTTTTTTTCATAATATTGGATATTATATATTTTTTAACTTATATTTTTGGATATTTGAAGACCAAACCTACATATAACCCTTTTAAATACGGAAATGATTTTACTTTTAACGAATACGAATTATTGCCTTATTGGTATACAAGGTGTGAATTGTTGACCTTTCCTTTTTTACGTCGTCTTATGTTTATGAATTATAACTTCATCATCAAGAAAACGTCTTTGGTCTTCTTTTTAAGAGTGTTTTTGTTTCATTTCGGCTATATAAGACAAAAGTACCAATATTCGACAGTTAACAACGAAAATGTCAAAGAAATTTTCTCAACTACCTCTTCGTTCGAAACTCAAAAGTGTGCAGAATTAAGAATGGTCAAGGTAATAAGTCTATAAGACTGATACACCTCTGACCTCATGACATCGCCTTTCAAAACACATGTAAAAGAAGACCTTATCATAATTTTAGTTGTTTACTAGATCAATTCTTCTCCTTTTTTTACTCTGAATCATTCTTCTGATAATGACACCAGGTTGTACATATTGTTACTGCTATATTTAAAATTTAACTTTCTTGAAGAATATTAAAATGTCCAAAGCTATAAACACAAACTACAAACATAATTAAATAGTGCATATATATATCATCAAACAAAATATGAAAAAAATACATCAATTCCCTATCGACTAGTTCTTGTTTTTCTTAAGGGTATGAAAAACTTCTAGCTGGCTTTGAAGAAGGTTCTTTCTCAAGAGCCTTCAGTCTTTTCGTATTGAGGAAGTTCTGGAGGCTGCGGTTGCTTTTGTGATTTTTTGTTGTTCAGTAAGTTTTTCGAGTATAAAGACCCGAAAACGATGACCTGAATCAAATGAACCTGGTTAGTCAAAGAATCATAAGTATAGTAGCCTAAGTTTTTAATGGAGTAAATGATACAATCAAAAAATGAAAGAGGATCGAGGATAGTACCGATCCAATACATTGCTCCCAGCTAAGCGGATGAGAGAACCAAATGCATGAGAGCATGATGCTTGCAAGCTTTATCAAGATGAGTAATTCAGGTTAGAAACGGATTGTGTTAGCTACTGAGTTGGATTGAGATCGGGTTTGTTTTTTTTACCTGTCTTGTCGTCATGATAGCAGCGAATGTTAGAGCACCAAATGTCCTAATGGTGTAGGAAATGAAGAATTGGCTCGCTGTTGCAACCTGCACATTGGTCTCTGGTAAGTTCAGTGAGAATCAAAGAAACAAGAACATAAGATTGTATCATGAGTTGTTGTCAACAAAGCTTCCTGGATCATAGAATCATGGATTATACATGCCAACTTGTGGACCTATTAGACCATATGAAACATGACACTGTAATGACTAAGTATAGAAGAATAAAAGAAACTGAAACTTACCGTGGAGAGCAGAGCGATGTCGAGTAGACAATCTCTATGCCGAGATACAAAATCTACAGCTAGTAGTAAATGGCCTTGCAATACAAGTCCAGTGAAACTCAGAACACAAGAGCAAAGTGTTGTGTAGAATATTTGGTTGTGTATCTCCATATTATATCCTTTAAAGAGTTTGTCTTGGAATGTGCTTGTAAAGCCATCGAACCTGTTAGATAGACAATTACCATTTACAAAAATCATGATTCAAGACTCGTGAGTAGTAACAGCAAAGTATTGAGATTCCTATCTTGAAACCAGACATGGATAAGCAGTGGCAGGGATAATTTGGTCATACGTACCCAAGATAACCGGCCATAAGGGAAACACCCCAAACAGTATTCTCCCTTCCCTTGTTGTACGGACTTATATCATCACCTGCCTACAGCTCAGATTTTACATTACCCAAACATCAGTTTGATTGGGGTACTTTTAACAAACCGAAGCCATTGAAAAGATTGAACAAAGCATATAGAGCAGATTTATACCGGAAATAGAATAAAGACAGAGCAGCCGAGAGTCACCAGAAAAGCCACTAAATAGTCAAAACCCTTGTACTTTTTCTGCATGATGATAGTTCCCCATACCTTGTACAGAGCAGAGAATAAGAATGGTGATGCTAAAATCAAAATCCTCTACAAAAGAAGAAGAAAAATGTAACAACTTACCATAACTGGTATCATTTTGGCACATTTTGCTAGAGTTTGGACTGGGAAGCTCACATACTTGAGAGCCTGGAGGCATTTACAGACGGTAAAAGCAATAGTTATAATTCTTAAGTTCATAAATGAAAAGTGGAATTCAAAAATAAAATGCTACCTCATATTGGCAAGTAGTGGTTAAGATGTTAGTGACTGAAATAAGGCAATACTTGTAAACTGGAGCTACAGGATCCAAAACTTTCTTGCTTGCCTACAAAATGTTTTAAAGCCAAACAGAGTTCATCAAACTTTGGTAATTATGTAAGAATTGTACATTACAAAGAAACACAAGTTGGGGTAAGTTACCAGTAAAGCAGCAGCAGAGACAGCTGAGGTAGTGAGACGATTGCAGAAAACAAGAAACAAAGAGTACTTAAAGAACTCTTTGTTCAATCCATAAGGAACTCTCATTATCTTCTCCTTCAAAAATTTACAGAGACCCACAAAGAAAGTTATGATCTTTAACTAAATTCCACATAACAGAAACAGTATGTATCATGACAAGACAAAGAGACCTGAAGAAGACCATAGATGACAAGAGTAGACATAATGCCGGAAACAGCGAATACACCTTTCCATAACTTGTTCTCTTCCTTCACTCCGTTTACTGTCTCCTGCTCAGCCATGTCCCATCCACCACCTCTTTATAACTTTCCTTCTTCCTATAGAACATAAGAACCTATCTCACATTAACCAAACCGAGTGAGCTCAGAGATTTCAAATTTACACGAGGAAGAACAGACCGATCTGAAGAAATCGGAGGATAAATATATTTCTATGTGACACAGATTAGCCGGTAGAAATTCTCCGGCGACTCTCCGACTCGATCCGATATTGCTCCACCGTCTTCCTCTCCTTGTTTTTTTTTTGTTTAAAGTTCGGTTCTTTGGGGGTTTCTATGGATCCGCCACGTCATCACTCGAAACTACGCATGTCTGAAAATAATGATCAAAAAGTCAAAGAGACCTTACCAGTCAACAAGAGCGTTTCCATTTAAAGATTACTTTAAGGAATGCCATTCACTCAGTAATCAGTACGATGATGACAAAAGAAAAAATAAAAGGAAAATAGTTAAGTCATAATCCTAAACTCGTTGTGGCGATTTTGTTTCTATTACATCCTTGGACATTGTCTGCCTTTTGTTTTTATGAGTTTGCAATCTTGAAATTATCTTAGCCATTGATGCTCGTGAATATAGTAACAGTACTCAGGTCATCCATATTATACATAGTTTCTGATTTGTTTTTGTTAAAGTCCGTTTAATCACTTGGGAGGGTTAGTTAATCTAATTAGAACCATATATAAGAATGATATTTTGTTCAACTTCACTGATTTCATCGGTCAGTGATGTAAAAGAAAGAAACACAAAACTGTGTTTAGAAAGCCCAATTTCATTTACAGGCCCACTAAGAGTTTTTAAGAAGTTGCGCTTTTTGTCTTTGGTTCAAGAGTCCCACATCGGATAACTGGGAGAAATTAGCAACAGACAAAGCGCTATAAATAAAGGTCTTCTTCTACGTTATCAAATCACGCAGCCATGTGGTGAGCACAAAGCGAACTATTCTTTCGCCTTTTACTAAAGAATACCGTGTGCTCTCCACGCTAAGTGGCATACGCCTATTTTTGGAGGGTCCCACTTTCGAGTGGGCCCAACAGTATTAAGTTTAATACTTTTAATGGAAATTTATTGTATCTTATAAAAATTTATAAACAGAATTGGTACCCGACATAATAACCGAGCCGGTCTAACCAGAGATAAAATCATATAAATGGACCAAATAATCATCCAAACTAACACTGATCTGTTAAATCTCATTAAATGTTCGGTTCGCTACTCTAATCTCTGCCTCTTCCGGGTTAACGTCGTTTGATCAAAAACCGAACCGAATCTCATACCGGAACACATCAGTGAATCACATCGTCCCGACGCGCCACTACTACTGACATATTCACACCCTTCAAACAAGAGAGGAGGTAACTCAAAACGCTGCGTTTGCGTTTGAGGCGGCGGGTTTACCCATTTCGGCAGTTGTCCCGCCACAAGAAGCGTTTGAAGAAGCGGTCCAGCTTCCACCACCGCTTTTAAAAGTTTTCCCGTCTCCGGAAAAGCCTTCCCCATCACTAGAACGTCTAGAGGATCGTGCTGATGATGATTACGAGCCGTTGGATCTTCGCGGATCATCGACGGTTGAGAATGATGAATGGTCATGATGAAGCTTGAGAGTTCTGAGGAAGAAGGAGGAGAAGAAGATCCGTCACCAGAGAAGCTGTTTGATTCAGTGGTGGTTCTTGAATTAGTGTTTTGGGTTTGGATGAGAAACTGAGATAGTTGTTGTCTAGCTTCATCTCGTTCTTGCTGAGTGGACTCGAGTAGAGTGAGAAGTTGATCGACTTCTTCTCTATGCGTTCTTGCTTTCTCATTGGCTTCCATTTTCAATGTTTCTAGCTCCAACAGAGTGTTCTGCAGATTCTGTCTTATTCCATCAATGCTCTGCATTTCAGAAGTTGTAGACAAGAATTTATATTTAAAAATATTCAAAGGAAATCGACGAACCACAAAATGAACATGTGATGATACCTCTTGATGAAGCCATATAGAAGAATAAAAGTCATCCATTGATGAGTAACTTTGTGTTTTGTTATACTCTGTTTAGTACTGAGAATAATCCCGCTATATATAGTAATAGTTCATACCAACAAAAAAAATTGTAATAGTATATGCGTATCGAATGATACAATCATAAATGTAATCAATGCAAAATGTCAGTGCATTTCTTGGTTTTTATAGACCCATGTGAGACAGAGAAAAAAGGTACAAGAAAATATAAACTGGATGGTTTAAAATTTGATTTATTCACATACTTGAGGAAAAATATTTGATTTAATTATATTAAGAAACATAAACTAATTGTTGACAAAATAAAACTAATTGTTTTACATATTTAAAAATCTCTGAAGACTAGCTATTTCTTATTATAAATTCACATATGATAATTGCCTATATACTATATATTATTAGTCAGGGGGCATTGCTGACAGTCACATACTACTGAGAATACTTCAATGTTTTTACTCATTACTTTTTTTGTGATATTACAAACATTCATTAGTAGTTAGTAAGAATTGATTATATATAGTATATGTTATTTTCATGAAAACGAAGCATTCGGCTAATTTATACAAAACAATTCTCAATCATTATAGTACTATATGAGAAATAAAATCAAGAAAAGAAACTATAGTCGAAGAAGACTCAAAGTATAATACGTCTATTATCATTTATGTTTCATGTGACTCGTATATATTTTTGAATTGACTCATATAGATTCCTTAGCACGTATATATTTTTCATTTAGTTACCCAACAATTGCATTGCAGCGGATTCTCGTGCACAAACTTACAAAAAGATATGCAAATTCAGACATGTCCAGTTTAGGTCGCAGTATTTTTTTGTAATATATGCATTTTGGTCTGTATGTAAACTTAATTAAAATCTTGTACGAGATTGGCTTGTGGACTGCCCAAGAAATATATTTGATCTCGACTGCGGCATATATAATTTATTTATTTTCCTACGATAAATGGATATCTGTACTTATTATATAAACTTAGTCCTTACATTAGCTAGCTTTAATGTAGATAATACACTCTATTGCATTGTTATGTAACTATTCTTTACGCGCATAATACTCAAAACCACTATTATACAAACACATTCTTATCGAACTTCGTGGTATATGAATTTCAATGTTTTATAAGGATTTCGATGTTTGCTCCACTTCAATTTATCTAGTTTATAATTGTTTACCTCCCCTTCAGATATTATTATAAATTTTCTAAACGGCTCACGTCAGATTTCACATAAAGCTACATACGATAAACCTCGACTCTTGTTAGAACTAATATATCTCTTAAACCAAGTTCTTTTTTTCTTAAACCAAGTTTATAATTCATTTATTGTGAAAAAAATAGTGGTACAAAAGAATATCTAACCATATACACTAGTATTGGACACAAAAAGACCGAGATTGAGTAACATGTGATGAACTTAACCAACAGATGAAAATGCATGTCAAATACATCTATATAAATTTTAGATAAGTGAAAAAAACTTACCATATTATGACAAAGAGAAGAGACAGCGAGAGTTCGAGACTTATGGCTAAATCCAAATCTGTATACAAAACCCATAAAACAAACTAGATTAGTAATAATTACAAGGGTACAAAACCCATAAAACAAACCCATAAAACCCTAATTACAATTTTCTGAGCTATATGAATTATTTTCTTGCAATATCTTTGTAGTTGGTCAGACTATGAACCTTATGGAACTCGTGATTTTGGCATTTTCTTGGACGGCACATGGAACATGTACAAGTCACATATAGACAATGCTCATCTTTCATGACTTGGAACGTAAATTGAAAACTATTTAACACGTGCCTTTGAATGATTTCGTCTAAAAGTCGACTTGGCGATACTAAATGCTTTCACTGCCCGATCCAACTAATTAATTTAAATTTATCTTCAAATGTTTGTCACAATATTTGTAAATTCGACTCTTCCAACGATGATTTCGTTCCGTTTTTAGAATGGTCATGTGGTCCACATCAGTTGGCACAATTTGATTTCTATCTCAACCAACTTTGCTGCCAGATGGTTCAGCTCCAACCATATTTTCTTGACTATTAGAGTGATTTCATCTTCTCCCTAAAATTTCTATTTAGTTTTTTCTTTTTGCAAAATTAAGAGTATGAACACTTTCGATATTAATTGCGAACACATACCTTGACGAGCACGAGTAGTTGCCTGGCAATCAAATCTGCAGCAGAGGAAAGCACATGTAATTCCATCAATTTTAAAATATAAGGAAAAATACTAATTCGTTACCAAAACCGAAAACATTTGGCTGAAGACGAAACTCCTCTCTAGTTTTAATTAGTTAGAAGACTAAAAACGAAAACATGTTATTTTAACACTTCTTGTAACAACAAAAAACTTGTTACATTGTTCTGTCTTTAGGGCTTTTAGCTTTGTAATATGCTTCCACCTTGTTAATAAAACTAAAATAAAAGTGTAGCTAGTAGATCGTAAAGCTGTCTTTATAAATGCATATGTTTATCCTGATCGAAGTAAGAGTTGAAAAGAAACTACTATATATCCTTTATCTCCAATAGAACTAAGAGTTCTAAATGTTTGGATTATAATATTTTTTGGGTTGAAAAGTAGTTTAAGAAAACACGAGTTTCTTATATACTTATATTTTTGTACTAAACACATGATCAGTCATTTATTAGTATCTGTTTCAAAAAAAAAAATCATGTATTAATACGTAGAATAAAAGTCACACAGAGCAAAAGAAAAATAAATTTTGCACAACATTATATAAGAAAAGTTTCTTAAGCCTCTTATTAAAAAGTATGGAATGAGATATTTTGTTTTACAGTGTTCTTAAAGATTATTGCATCATAAAGCATGTACATATAAAACCCTAGAACAATATCGGATTAAATTAAGAAGTTTGGATAAAATAAAACTACACTAAATGTTATGTTGCAGCTTCTTGCATCAACTGCCATAAGAACTCTGAAGCTGCCTGGATATTACAGTTGACAGCCGTAGATCTTGGTCCTTAATAGCTTCCTCCTTTGAAGCAGATCTGGTGAGCGTACTAGCGATAGACAGTGGAACGATTAAGCAGAGAGGTTGAGTTTACTCTGGACAAAAGGAGGACAGTGTTTGGTCATTGCAAAATGTGTTGAAAGTGATTGAAGATTCCAAAAGGTACTCCTTTTTCGGCACTCACAGCTGAGATTCATGGGTATATGAAAACTCTTGAAGAATAGACTATAGACTATATGCCAGCAAACGGAAACACTGTAGTAATGGAGACTGCGCCAGGAGTGAAATATCAATCCTATACGTCAAGAGATTATTAATAATGGCTGTAAGATCTTATTATCTCAGAAACTAGGGGACCGGTTTGAGCGAGTACCCAGGAGACTCACCATTCCAAGGTTTGGAGCCCTTTCAATTGCTTGATGATGGTCACATTAATTGTGTTTGCCATCCTTTGCTCACCTATTGGTGTATCCCCTTTTAATTAGGGTTTTCTCTTGCATATATATATATATCTATGCAATCTAAACAATGTATGGTTTGTTTTTTTATGACAAAGAGGTTCTGGCAAAACTCAAACCATGTAATTTAATTTTTTCGGAGAGTAAACATTTCCCATCGTAAATCAAATTCATGAACTTCAAAATTCCTATGCGAATTGGTAATAGCATAACCACTAAGCTAACTCATCTTTGGTCCCCTGCTTTTCTTTCCATAAAAAAATCAATCAAAGGGAAATATTAATCAGTTTTATTTATTTTAACTATATGAATAAGCTTTTCTTTTTTTTTTTTTTGGTCAAATTGAGAAGAAACTGGGGGATGAAGACAATAGTTAACTATATGAATAAGCTAACTATGGTATTAATTATGTATACAATTGGTGAAGAAGATCCACACACAATATGCGATCGTAAGAAAATTGATGAAAAAAATAACTGAAATGCTTACCCTTATTCCAACATGTAAAAACATTATAAGATAAAACTGTAAAATGTGAAACGTCACAACAACGAAGTTTATGATGTTTTTCATTCGGGTAATATAGAGTGTGATCGGCAAATTCTAGAGTAAATGAAAGTAATAAAAATAGAGTAATTTGGGATAAATGTTGTAGAGTAAATGAAATATATAAATGAATAGTAAACTACAAAAAGTAGAGTAACTGATATCCCACTTCAAAACCAAAGAGTAAAATACTACGTGTTTTACCTTCATTTGAATAGTAACTAGAGTAAAACAATAAATTAATAATTAAAGTTTTTCCCACCTGATTGGTAAGTTTAGAGCAGCAGCATCAATAAACCCCACCAGGGGTTCATGATTTCAATATTTTAATTTTTTTTTTTCGTTTGCTTTTTTTTAAAAAAAAAAAAAAACAGACATGAACCGATTCAGTAGAGTGATCCTTCGCGAGCTGGAGTTCATCAAGGTATATTATTATAATATTTTTTTTATTTGGGGAAGTGTGTGAATTTGGGGATAAATCCTTGATGCCGATGCTCTTATGAGCCGAAAGTGGAGTAACATATTTTTAGCGAGAACATTAACGCTATCAGAGCATGTTTATCCAAGGGTGCTTAGAGAAGTGTTTAGGAGGAGGGAGGTGCTTAATATGAAGAGAGAGTGTGAAAAGTACCTTGAAGAAGAACTTCACACTCTCTCTCTTCATATTAAGCACCTCCCTCCTCCTAAGCACTTCTCTAAGCACCCTTGGATAAACATGCTCTCAGTGACTTACAGTCACACCTATAGTGTTACAGTTACTAGTACGGGTAAAGCGAATCCTATGAACTTTGTTTCTCCAAAAGTCTCTCAGCTATCAGTTTTTTTTTTTCATGCTTAGGTTTGTTTTGGAATTTCAATTTTAAAGAAAACTTTAAATGAACATTTAATGTTATTCAAATTGTAGTTTTTCTTCAACAAGTCATTCTTACAAGATATCAGCCACTACAATGAAATAGAACATAATACACTGAAATTCGAAGAATTTGATCTGAGCTAGGTAAGTAGGTAATTTAACTAATAGTCGACTCCAAGATGTTTGCAATGTTGCTTCCGTGAGATCTACGCAAAAGGTGGAGAAAAGGCATCAGCTTCTGCACCAAACGCCTAAAGATATCAACCCTATTCATCTCATTCGTGACTCTCAGTGCCTTGACAACCACGAAACTCCCAAATTCATTCCTAGCCAGCCTCATCAACCTGTCTCCCTCGCACTCCAAAAGCTCCACAACCACCACATCCATTGACATCTCCATATCCAGAAGCTTCTCTACAATGTAGCTTCCATACTTCTTAAACGCCAGATCAACGCAATGGCCACGAAGACTCACCGCTACGTTATGCGTGCAACGCAAGTCATACAGTTTAAGCACGTGCTGGACCACAAAATTCCCTGAAGGATCGTTGCTTAGGTAGAGAGCGTTGCGCGCGACTACTTCTAGTAGAAGATTTCTGTAGAAAGGATCATCCGCGTCGGTTATGATCTCGTTGAGCGCGATGCAGCCGTATTGGTTACACGCGATGTCGAGCGCGTGGTGGAGAAGGTGCTCGTACATCACATACTTCTTCTTCTGCTCGAAAACTAGCATAGCTCGCATCGCCACGTAGGATGCGTACTTATCGGTGATGATATGGAAGAACCGGCGCAAGATAGGCGCGTAGAAGAAGGCGTCCACGTCATCTGATATTCCTAAGAGTTTCTGCACGCGTCTGGACCCGTAAACGTTTCTGACGATCTTCGTGAAGTAATCGGAGTCTGACGTAAGTGACGACACCATCATGTGAAGCTCTTTTCGGTCAGACTTTGAGATAATGTCTTTAAACTGGGCCAAGCCTTCGCCACTAGTCATAATGTTGAACAGAGAATCTAAGCGGGAGTTAGCTACGGTGGCGCGTGGGGCGAAACCAGGAGGAGGAATGTAACCGGAGATTCCCTTAGAGAAAGGGATATGTTGTAAAGCATCAGACACTGTCGACATGGAAAACGAACTATTGTCTGTTATTGCCATTGTAACAGAATTAATCTTTGACTAGCGAAGGATTAAAAGTTTTTGTGATTTGAGTTTGGAGGAGTTAACGTTGGAAAGATTTTAGAGTTGTTGTGGGATTAGGATCTGTGAGGGGTAATAATATATTTATACCTGTTCTTTTCTCAGTAACAATTGTACTTTCCTTTTAATTAAAAGGAAAGTTATCACGAGTTTCCTTTTTTCTACTCTTTTCGTAACTATGATATTCCGACCGTTAATGAAGAAAAAGGTAAAAGGTTGTGTGTGTACTTCGTCGTTTTACGAAAAAGGTCAATTAATATAAGACCATCCACACAATGGTGGCTCTCTCCCAAAAATCCTTAGCCATTTTTTATTAATTTTTTGTACTTTTTGAATAGTGAAGGACCTTAATCCATTTTTCAAGTCCAATGGTGTTCTTCAATCCAGAATCCTTATGAATAAAATAATAATTAATTATTTTAAAGAAAATTAAAATTTTATTTATTAAATGATAAAAAAAGAAATTTTATTGTTGTAATCTTCATAACCAAATAGAACAATGATTAAAATTAACATATAAAAGACACACTAATTAATTTCATCACCAAACTTATTCCAAATATAGTGGACATAGGTTTAAAAACATTTTCAAACAAAGGAACAACAACATAGAAATCATCCATTACAAGAACAAAGGAACAACAACAACAATAGCGAGACAAACATGCATCATATAAGAAGAGACGAGGAAGTTGAGGCACCATTCTTGCGGCTCAAGTAGTTGGTGAGTATGTCAGTACACTCTTTCCTTTCCGGACATACACACAGCAATGGAGAAGTTTCCCCATCTCCAACCACATTGAAGACAAATAAGTCTCCCACGGTGCTTCTGTTATCAACACAAAACCTTCTCCAGCCTCTTCCGATGTAGAACATGCCACGTGCTTCATTGAATCGCAAGCTGACTGACCATGAATTCCCCTCTTTGTTCACCAGTTTCGCTTCCCGGCAATGTTTGTTCAAAGCAGTACACATCGTAGCCTCGACAGGAAGATGCTGGAAACAAAGAAGGTAAAGACACATAACATATCACAAGTGTATCTTCACGAAGATTTTAAATTGCGAAACATAAATAAACTACTCACAAGTTTGTCTTCAGAGAGATTTGACGATGTGACCTCAGCCAAAAAACAATAGTCAAATGAGAAAGGAGTGACCTCTGCAACATCTTGTGTGTACTGAATCTCAGTAAAACTACGACCAAAAGGAGTCACATGAAAGATCATGTCTCCTTCCTTTTTGAACACGACAATGTCACCTATGCGGAGGGAGTGTGCTTTGGCGAATGTTTTCCAACCTCCGGTGAGTCTTCTTCCTTCTTGTTTAACTTCCCAAGTTTGGTGTGATGAAGCGTCCGATCGGAGTGTCCACTTTCCTTGGTTCGGATTGCCTTCTATGTGTTTTGAGTAGAAGCCAATTGGTATTGTCTACAATTGAACAAATGAGAAGTTAAGCAAATGACATAAAAAGAGGAGAAATACGAAGTATACCAATCCATCGTAGAAACCAGGAAGCAGAGGCTTCAAAAAGTGCGGTTCATGCTCATACGCCATCTGCAAACAAGAAAGCGAAATGAAACGCAAATCCTAAAATCAAACCGATTAACAATCACACACACATTGAACCATGCATTTTCGAAACACAAAGCAAAAAACAACAAACAAAAGTCAAATCAAATCTATAAGCAACAACAACAACGATGTGATTGTTAATCGGTTTGATCACACAAATCCTAAAATCCCAAAATCAAAGCAAACCGATAAACAATCACACACACATTGAACCATGCCTTTTCGAAACCCTTATCGACTCTAACCTAATCCCCAAATCAATTGAAAACACAAAGACATAGAATCGAGTAAACCTAAATCCCCAAATCAATTGAAAACAAAACACAAAGACATAGAATCGAGTAAACCTAAATCTCCAACTCAATTGAAAACACAAAACTTTCCGAAACACAAAGCAATTGAAAACACAAGAAGGAAGAAGACTCACCGGAATCTCCTTCTCTCTTGTTCGATATCTCCTTCTCTCTTGTTCGATATCTTCTTCTCTCTTGTGCTCTCGTTTTTTTTTTAAATGAAACCGAAATAATTTTTTTCCCCAACCCCACACACATTACACGCGCACAGTCCTCCCCCCTTGCCACGTCGACAAGGATCAACGATGTTCACTCCTTAGCTTAGGATTAATCCTTCACCCTTTTCCTCCTTTTAATATTTTTTTATTCGATTATGCTAAGGATTAGTGGCTAAGGACCCCGCAAGAGAACCGTTGCGGATGGTCTAAGTAAACTAAAGAATATTAAAACAAAAGGTAAAGAAAACTTACAATTGGGCTATGAATTGAAGGCCTAAAAGACTTTCTCAAATTCACTATTTAACTATCATGGCTAGATATGACCGTTCTCAAACTTACAATTGGGCTACATAATTGAAGGCCTAATGGAAATCTAATGAGGCAAGTTGAAGCATAGTGACTAGTGAGGATATCTGATCATCTGCCTTATTGTCGTAAAAATATTTATAGAGATGTAAAAGATTAATCAAACTCACCCTCGCCAAACACCAAGCTACAAGTGACATACACAAAGCGGAATCCTAGTGGAAATTAATTTTATAATTTGAAACGACTTGGCCCTTGTTTTATTTAGTCTCAAATTTGGAGTGATTCTACTGTTATATTTTCTTGTTGCTTGTGGATTGGCTCTATTCGTTTCTTGGAAGTGAAATCAATTCCACCGTAATGAATATGATATTTTGCTTATAATCTATTGCTGATTTTAAGATACGCCTGAACTCATATCCACTCCACTTCTATACAAACTCTTCCAGTAACTTTGGGTGGAAAGGGGATAGTCTTATTGGGTATTTGCTTATGATATTTATTGATGGGTTTATTATTTGTGGTTTGATTATGACTTTAGAATAGTTGAGATTATCACTCTACATGTGGATCATATTTTATCCCCATCCTTTTGTTCTTGTTCTCAGTGGAGGCAAGGTAGGCAGGTAACATCATATTATGAAAGGTATATATATACTTAATTGTTTTCTCCAAGCTTATTATATGCCAATTAAAAGATTCAGGTAACCTTATTTGGTGAGAATCAGCCAGTCATTTCATATATGCTTACTATAATTTACTTTTTTTTGGTTGATCTGACTATTATCAATTAGTCTCCTTCTCCTTTTTTTAATTGCTAAATAGTTGTTTGCGTGCTTTTAAGCAGCCATCCTTCTCTTCTTTTACTTATCCTTTTCCCATTGAAATTTTAAACAACTTTTAAAAGGTTGAAGCTTTAGTCTCGTGGCTCATATAATAAAGAGATAGAAAAGGATATCTTACCACAAAGACTAAAGAGTGGGAACTGATCTTTTATCATGGAGACCTTTCTTAAATAGAAAACACACATACTCGATTTGATCAACAAGATTATATTCTTTTTGACAAAGTTGGCTTAAGCTTTGCAAGTCAAACCTATTCTCTTTCATTATTTAGCAGGTGAATATGCCTTGTTATGCTAGTTGCTTCTTGCTTATTTCGTTTTTCATTTTTCACACTGCATAGTTTTAAACTTTTAATAATGGATACTCATTGACTCTCATCTATCTCTTCCTAATCGATCAATATTATTTTCTACAGAAAAAAATTCACATAAACATCAAAGTCTAATTCATTTTGAAAGTAGAGTTCTGAATTATATTACACATAAAATTCCATGAAAAGAAAAACATCTCTTTTTGAGGAAAAGAGATGGATATGATAATACACATATATATATATAGGCTTCACATATAAACATTCAAATGAATCAAATCCTAGACTAAAGAGACGACCATGATGATCTACCATGTTCAAAACTTAGGGGAAACTGATCAATGGCAAAAGAAGACATCTTACTTTCATCTGCACCCATGTTCCATATAGACTCCAAGGAGCTTTCCCATGTTGGAGAAGCCAGAGGAGGGAAGTTCAAGTAACAGCTTTGCTCTGAGCTTTCCCATCTTACCGGTTTAATAATGTTTTCTCCAGATTGATCAATCTCCCTCCATATGTCATCCATAGAGTAGTATCCATCATCGCATTCTTGATTCACTTTCCCATTGGACCCTCCAGTGTCTTGAGTAGTTGCAGTGGTCATAGACGATGAGCAGCAGTTTGAAGATGAGGTAGTTGGCGACATAGGTCGCTTCTTCTCTTGTGCCTGCTTCCTCATATGAGTCCTCCAATAATTCTTTATCTCATTATCTGTTCGGCCCGGCAACTTCTTTGCAATTTTTGACCACCTGCAAATGAATATTTCTAAATTGGCGAAGTTCATACAAAAAAGGAAAGTTTTGAGGTTTCTCTATTTTTTTTTTTTGAATTGAATGTTAAATATAATTAAAAAAAAAACTGGTTACAACTGTGTGTGTCCTTTCTTGTGATTTTCTCTGTTTTTTGAAGATATCGACTGACCTGTTTCCCCATTTGGCATGAAGCTCAAGGACAAGACGCTCTTCTTGAGAAGTCATCTTACCACGTTTAAGACCAGGATGTAGGTAATTAACCCACCTTAACCTGCAGCTCTTTCCTGTTCTGTTTAAACCTACAACCAAAACTAGGTTAGACTTTTAAAATGGAAGGTCTTTTCCAGAGACCGCCCATTTTTCCAAACACAAGCCCTATACGGCTATACCTATTCTTATCATGTTTCTCCCTCCACCTTCAAACCTGAAACTTTTGCTACAAAATCCCATCTTCGATCTCCAAACATGTGGACAAAGTTGACCAAGAGGATGTCCTCATGTTCTGACCACGGTCCTTTACGGTATTCCTCTCGCACATTTTTCATCTCTCTCTGAGTATAATAAAAGTTGCTTCTCAGCTTTGTTTTGTGGGAACTTATGGCATACTCTAGACCAATATTTATATGTGAGCCAACTTGAACAATGTGTTGTTGTGTCTTACGCGATATAGCACTCACGTTATTAAAATTCTCAAATGATTTGTCTTTCTTATCTTTATTTTCCATATGGTGAGAGATTATGCTGATGATAATGTGGGGCCTGTTGTTTTTATGATGCCATCAAGCCATTATAGCATTTATAAAAAAATATAAGGGGAAATGATCGGTAATAGGCGATTGATGTACACTGATGAAACACTCCCATTAATTCGGCCTTTTTTATGTCTTTTTGTGTGTTGCACTATCTTCCTCGCGCGTGTCAGTAAAATATTCAGCAGCATCTCAAAATCAAACCAGGAGAGGAAATAACTCATATAAGGTAAACTATATAGTCAACTAATTGTCATCAAACAAAGAGATATATAAAAATATTAATTTTCTTTTATCTCAAGCTTTTAACTATATGGACGGATAATAAAACTGTGTGAACATTAGAAGGCTCTAGACAATTTTCAACTATTTTATGTGAAGTTGATTGCAGTTTGTATCTTGACTTTATTAAAGGTTTTTCAAGATATCACTGTAGAAGCTTATAAAAGGCAAAGAAAGAAGAAAAAGGAGATTTGAAAAAAGCATATAGCATAAGGGGTCGAATTGTTTAGGGTGACTGATAAGTGGCCTTTTGTATCTAGCAGCAGCACTTGAGATTGAAAGTTAGATACTCATATGTCTTTTTTAGGAACAGGAATTCATTTAAAGACCCAATGAATTATTTATTTAGGAGATGAGAAAGGCCAATTTGATTTCCCTTGTGACATGCCCTTTGGTGCTCTGTTTTCATGTCTAGGAAAGTTTGGAGTTTTAGTCCATAATCTTTTTTTTTTTTTTTGTCACTGTGTCCATAATCTTTCAAAACCCAAAGATCAGTCTTTAACAATAATCGTTTTCCAAGATGCATATCTATTATTATATGATTTATCTTGGAATTTCATTAACCTTACACATTTGGTCACGTGTGCAATTTATATTGCATACGGCTTCTAGATGCATGGACAAAAGAAGGGTGGACAAGGTTCTGACTCCGTGTGTGTAAGTACCTGGTCTGCTGGTCCATAGAAGCAGAGAATAAAGAGTATATATATGTTCTTCTTTCTGATCTGCAATATCTCTAATTGCCAAAGAGTTCCCTAGATTCTTCAAATTGGTTTGTTCTGTGGAAAACTCTGAAAATGACCTACAAGAATCTGAGAGAATTATACTCAAACTGATGTTGCATTAGTCTTTATATTGAAGCAAAAATATACAGAAACACGACAAAGGTTCCAGTTTTGGTATATATGTGGAAAACTCGTGGACCGATCAAGCCAAACCTGTTGAAGTCTCGGTTTGATCGTATTTCAAAGGCCGTGAAAAATCAATAATGAAGTTAAACCGACCCATATAAGACTGGGTCATGCCGGACTGGTCATATCCATCACAGTTCTTGGGGTTTTTGAATGGTTATGGTGGTCTGGCCTTCAGAACCACAGAATAGGACAGAACTTAGACTGGTTTATAACAAACATGATCTAACCTAAACCGCTTATAGCCAAGGTTACCGCATCCCTAATCTAAGAGCATCAACATTCACAAAATTCTCAAGATAATAAAAGTCTTGTTACTTTAGTTTTCTTGTTCATTAAAAATTATGTGGTTGTGCTTCTAATGCTTAAATATCGTGGTGTGAAATATTCGGGGTTCTAATCTTTTTGCCTGTTGCTTTCGGATTCTCGAATTGTCCATTGTCCAGTAGCCATTATAAAATTCTACACGCCACCATAATCGGAAAGCTACTACACATTGTCATGTTGATCTGAGCCATCGATTAACTAGTAGTTGGGTTTGATCACTTAAATTAAGCAGTAAATATTGCGTGGCAATTAGATTAATACATTTGGAAGAATATGATTAGCAGATTACTGAAGAAAAAAATTAAATATAGTAAATATTAGTATTATTTTTGTAAGTTGGATTTGGTCATCATATCCAATGTTATCAAGATTGTTAATCGAGCACTCGGGGACCGTCTAAACAACTTGATTATTGGAGATTTATTTTTAGTATATTTTCTGCTTTTTAAAAAAATTAATTAAATATATTAATGGATACCTAGACTGATTTAATAGGCTGCGTGACCTAGGCCAAAACATTAACCTTTATTAACCGGTGTTCAATCAATTTGGTCAGAATCGAAGAATTGTGGTATTTTGATAGCTTAGATACCCATGCAGCCGATTTTAAAACGGTGTTGCGTATCTATTTCTCTATGATATATAGTTTACGACGTGATTATTTGTTTAGATGATGTCTAGACCAAATTTTTGAACACTTAAACCGATTCTTTTTAAATAGATTAAAAATATTGTTTTGTAAATACCCGATTTTTAGAACATTGATAAAAATAAACATTTTCATAAGGAGTTTAGTTGACCAAAATTGCAGAATTCAAGAATTGACATATTTTTTTCTGAAGTTGTCTCTGTAATGGAAGACCCAAAATTCTGAAGAGATTAGATGAAGTAGGCAGACAGATATTGGACTGAGTTATGTGTAGGACTGGGCATTTTATCCGTTATATTTGATTCGATTCGTTATTCGTTTCGATTCGATCCGAAAATTCTGGATATCCGTAAACTTTCAAATCAAAGCAAATACTAAAATTCAATATCCGTTAAAATCGAAGCAAATCACAAATATTAAAATTTTGGGAAACGGATATCCGATCCGATCCGGAAATATATAAATATATGTATATCTTGATTATATTTAAAATTTTAAATGTATAAAATTATATAATTATTATTCTAGCACTTGATTTTGAAAAATTCTATTCACCTTATTACTTATATAAAAGTATTACATAAAAGAGAAAAAAAAATTATGACAATTATATTTTTTCCCTTAAATTTTGTGTTATTATAATTGTAACTTAAACTTAAAAAAATTACAAAATATGTAATTCACTAGTTCTTTTAATTTTTATTTTATATATCATGCACAAAAATATTTTTTCAAAGCAAATTTGTATCAAAATCTTAAGATTATTTGTATTAATCAAAATGGATGAGATATCCGTAAATATTCGTAAATATCCGCAAATATCTATTTATTTTCCGGATATCCGTTTTTTCGGATATCCGTATTTTTTCGAAGCAAAGCAAATACCAAAATTAGATATTCGTAACCTTCGAAGCAAATCACAAATACCTTAAAAAACCCGGATATCTGATCCGTGCCCACCCCTAGTTATGTGGACGCTACTAGCCTACCACTTCCTCTACTCCACTAAGTAAGATATTTTCCTTTTCAATTCCCCTGGCTCGTGAGCGAAGGCATAAACACTTGGTAATTTAAGATAAGACCCTTTTGGTCCCACACTTATCTTTCTTACACACGGCTGGTGGTGTAGATAATTTTGAACCAGAATGGCTAAGTAATGGACGTGTAGGATACAATAACGGATGCATAAGACTTTTTATGCTAGTTTTCTCTTCAACCATGAGAATACACTCACGATTGGCTGAGAGAGGGTTGCATGGGAGATCCCTCTCCTAACAACCAATTACAATGTTCATCAGGAACAAGAGATCCAAAAAGATTAAAGAGAAACATTTTTATTAAAAATGCTGAATGAATATTACAAAGCTTGCTTATATGCTTTTACATAAAAGACAATGTGGTATACAAAACGTTTAGTCAAAACCTAGAAACTTGAAAACTCATAAAATAATCAAAGACTTGACGAGAAGTTGAAAGGCTGGTCGAAAAAAACTCTTTGCATGGTTGATGGTCAAGCTTCTGGCTGAGAGACCTCTTCTTCTTTTATGCCTTCATGTCAACACTTATAAAACCTATAAAGCTTTATAAGTCCCTAGCTTAATTCTCAAGTCTGGCAGTTTAATTCTCAAGTCTAGAAGCTTAATTCTCAAGTCCACAAGTTCAGCCTTGTTGCCATAGCTTCTCTGGATCCAAAACTTCATGGATCATACTAATAAGGCTGTGAAAAAACCCATTAATCAAAACCATGACCAGTGGCTTAGCTTGGTCCTTCTTTCTCTATTTTCCTTGACATTGATCCAGATCATGGTTGCATCATCCCCCTTTTCTTCAAAAAAATTTGACCTCAAATCTGATTTTTCTTCAAAGATGAAAGAACTGACATTTTTCTTCTCCATTTGAGTCGATATGTAGGCAAAGATGAGATTGTTGCTAGTGAGCACACACGTTCCTTCTCCTAGTTTATATATGAAGTTTTGTAGCCCCTTGACATGGCTCAGATGCGCCACGAGGCTGTTCTTAATCCAAACAACTGGTTTGGTCAGAAATTCACAAACAAATGGTTTATAAAGTGCATCTGAGTTGCAAACTGGTGTGTGCTTCTTCTCATGATCAGCTTCTGATCCATTAGCAAACACTTCTTCAGCCACATCTTGGACCGGTATTAGAGAACTTACAGACAATATTTCCTCTTTGTGATGCTGCCTATAGAACAAAGAGTCTTCATGGTCATGATTAGCTTGGTCCGGTTCAGTCTATTTAATCTCTTGAGTAGCAACAGCTGAGATTAAATGAGTGGGTGTCTCCTTTTGTTGATCCACCTCCTGGAACAGACACTTCCATTTCTCCAAGTTCTAAAGCCTTGCTTCTTCTATGGCTGAATTAATTTGCATAAAAAGATTTAATGATTCTGGTTCAGCAACTTTGATCTCTTGAATGGCAGCGACTGCTCCATGCTTCTTTGGTTCAAGTGATGGTCGTGTGGCTGTGCTCCTCTTGTGGATCTCTTCCTTGAATGATTACAGCCATCTCTCCAAACCATCATTTCTTTTCTTTTTAGTTCTGGCCGGTGGAGTCTCTATGATCGGATTTGATTGTGTCTTTTGAGATACCTTCTTTGATCTGCTTGGTTT